AACACTTATAACACTTCTGAGTATTAGAATAGCCAATGAAGACGCAACGGAGAGCACAAGGATCAAGTTTACTCCGTTGTTGGGAGTAGACATGAACATAAGTAACACACCCAAACACCTTCGGAGGTAACTTAGAGACCGAAACCGGAGAAGTATGGGCACACAACACATCAAGCGGAGTCTTGAAATCAAGAACCCGACTAAGAGTACGATTAATCAAATAGGCCACAGCTAAAACACCATGGCCCCAAAGGTGATTGGGAACAGACATGTCCAATAGAAGGGAGCGGGCAACTTCAAGTAACTGACGATTCTTGCGTTTAGACACACCATTTTGCTGAGGAGTGAATGGAGTAATAGTTTGGTGGATAATGCCTTGATCACGGAAGAAATGGGCCAAGGTATTATTCACGAACACGGCAGAGTACATAGCGAAGCACAGCAAACACACAAATACGGCAGATGCACGAAGACAGGAATGGCACGAATACAGCGACACAACACACAAACCCAGGAGGGCACACAGGGCACAGGTAGGAAAAAAATATGAGGCTAGAACACAGGTGAGCACAACCCACAGGTCACCAAAAAAGTTGGCTCTGATACCCTGTCAAACAAAGTGGGTAGAATATTTTCAGATATATTTCATTCTCCGAAAGGAGATATTTATAATACAAGGTTACAAACCCTAGTAGGGTTATACTAGGAAATAAGCTAAAGTCCTAATTACATAATATTTATATATAAAAAGGAAATAAATAAAATCCTAATATACTAGGAAGTAAATCTCCTAATTACTCTAGGATCTCGCTAACACAACAAGGTATGGAGCTGGCACAACATGATTCATCGGCACATATATAAAGGAATGGCAAAGTTTTCTTGGCTAAGAAACTGAAAGGGTTTATGCCAGCTGAAGTTCTTATACTAAACATTGAAACAAAGGGTTATTAATTCAACCAAAGAAAAAAACAAAATAACTATAGATGATTGCAAGTAATATCCAAATAGAAAGGAAAACTATACATGTTCAGTTAATTGTGAAAGTGTATAAGTTCAGTTGTACTCTATGACAAAAAATAGTATAAGCCCCCAACCTTAACAACATATCACCTTATTTCATCAATAAAATTGCCTAGGCCCTAAACCTTCACATATCACCCTATTTCATCAAACAAACAGTATAGGCCCTCAACCTTCACATAGCACCCTATTTCATCAAACAAACAATATAGGCCTATTTCATCAAAAAAACAGTATAGGCCCTCAACCTTAACATATCACCCTATGTACTCTTATGACAAAAAATTACTGTATATCATAAGCATGAAAAGCTTCTGCACGTCCTCCTACTTGGAACTGTGCTTGTCCTTAATGTGCGACTGAAGTGCGGCATCAGAATAAAATGTACTGCAAACAGCAAGATAATACACATAAAAACCAGCAACATAATACAATCACTATAAGAAACATAGAAAAACTTAATATTCTGGCCTAACGTACTTGCTGCATTGCTCGCAAGGTTGCTTGCCACCATACTTTGCTGTTTTTGGCTTGGGTTGGTAACTCATAACCTGCTCATGAAACAACTGAATTCTCTTAAAAAAAATATAATCAAGGTAATAATCAATTAGAAGACCAGGCAAACTGTGAAAACCACAAAATGAAATTTACCTTCCTAGGAGTAGAGGTCTCCTCAGCATCCTCATCATCAGTTAACCAAACATTTGGGCCAGTACCAACATCATCAGTACAGTCAACAGCAGCCCCCCACTCCTCTATTGAGCCCTCCATTGTTGACATGTTGGTAACATGTGGTTAGTCTGCCATGAGGAAAACATAATGATAGAAGCAACATGATGCCATATGTAAAAGGAGATGCTGCCAGATGTATAAGGAGAAGACATCACGTGAAGACTGTTGTGCTGCCAGACTGTTGTGCTGTAATATTCTTCTTTTTTGTAAACTGATACATTGTACAACTGTTACTTTAATAGCTATTTATGTAACTCCAAAACTAATGTGAAGAATATAATACACGAAGAAAACCATTCGGAAAAAGTTGTGCTGTAATATTCTTCTCTCAAATGTGTGTTTATCGGTTATTCTGTCTCACAAAAGGGGTACAAATGTTACTATCCCCCATCTGGAAAAAATTTCATTTCTATGGATGTTATCTTCTGTGAAGAAGAGGCCTATTTTTCGGTCACTCCTCGTCAGGAGCAGATTGATGGAGAAGAAGAGCAGTTCCCTGATATTGGATATGTACCATCACCTGATAATGATACACATGATACACATGAAAAAGAGTTGCAAGTGTACCAAAGAAGGAAGAGAAATGAGGTAGTAACAGATCCTCCACTTCCTGACCATGTTCCAAATCAACATGTTGCTTTGCATGAAGATCACTCTGAGGTAATTCCACAACCCCCCTCATCTTCCATACATACTGATAATGTTGTTAACCATGATATTTCAGCTAGGGATAATCTATATGACTCAAATGAGTCTATAGATGTCTCTAATTCTCCTCGTTTTCCAATTCGTAAAAATCGAGGGATACCTCCAGAAAGGTTTGGCTACTCCATAGTGAAAACTGTTCAATATCCAATATCTGATTATGTGTCTAACCATCGTCTACCCAGCTCTTATATTGCTTTTACAAACCACATATCTTCTGTGTCTACACCTAGTAACTTACAGGATGCTTTTGGTGACCCAAAGTGGAAGATTTCTATGGTTGAGGAGATGGAGGCACTACAGAAAATTTTTACCTGGGAACTTGTTGACTTGCCTAAAGGTAAGAGACCTGTTGGTTGTAAATGGGTGTTTACTGTAAAACACAAAGCAGATGGATCAGTTGAGAGATACAATGCAAGATTGGTAGCAAAAGGCTACACTCAAACTTACGGTGTTGATTACTCAGAGACTTTTGCGCCGTGGCTAAAATCAACACTATTCGAGTCCTTTTATCTTTGGCTGCCAATCTAGACTGGCCGCTACATCAATTTGATGTGAAAAATGCTTTCCTACATGGTGATTTAAAAGATAAGGTGTATATGAATCTTCCACCTGGGTTTGTTACGGAGACTGATGTTGGTAAAGTGTGCAAGCTGAGGAAATCTATATATGGACTGAAACAGTCACCTAGGGCTTGGTTTGGGAGATTCAGTTTGTCTATGAAAAGATTTGGGTACAAACAGAGCAATTCTGATCATACACTATTTCTGAAACACAGGAAAGGACAAGTGACAGCCTTGATTATTTATGTGGATGATATGGTTATTACAGGTAATGATGAAGAAGGAATCACAGAACTTCAGAATTACTTGGCTCAATAATTTGAGATGAAAAACCTTGGGGTACTAAAATACTTTCTTGGAATTGAGGTGGCAAGATCTAAGAATGGCATCTCTTTGTCCCAAAGAAAGTATATCCTAGATTTGTTAAGTGAGACTGGTATGCTTGCTTGCAAACCAGCAGCCACTCCAATGGAGCAAAATCATAAATTGGGAGAAAACCTTAATCAGATTCCAACAAATAAGGAAAGGTATCAGAAGTTGGTTGGAAAACTAATCTACTTGTCACATACACGACATGATATAGCCTATGCTGTTAGTGTGGTTAGTCAATTCATGCATGCCCCTAGTGAGAGTCATATGGAAGCTGTTCTTCGAATACTTAGATACCTGAAGTTAGCACCAGGAAAAGGATTGATGTTCACTAAACATGGTCATCTAGATGTTCAAGCCTATATAGATGCTGATTATGCCGGATCCATTGCTGATAGAAGATCTACATCTGGATACTTCACCTTTGTTTGGGGGAATTTGGTTATATGGCGTAGCAAGAAACAAAAGGTGGTATCTAGGTCAAGCGCTAAAGCCGAATACAGAGGCATGTCTCATGGTGTGTGTGAACTCATGTGGTTGCGAAAATTGTTGAGAGGCTTGGGTTTCAAATCCAAGAAGGCTATGAATTTAAATTGTGATAACAAAGCTGCCATTAGCATTGCCCACAATCAAGTTCAACACGATCGTACTAAACACATTGAAGTGGATAGACACTTTATTAAGGAGAAGTTGGATGTTGGAATTGTTGACTTTCCATTTGTTAAAACTGAAGATCAATTGGCCGACATCTTGACAAAAGTTGTATCAAATAGAAGTTTTCATTCATGCCTTGACAAGTTGGGCATTTGAAACATCTATGCACCAACTTGAGGGGGAGTATTGACACGTTGGTAACATGTGGTTAGTCTGCCATGATGAAAACATCATGATAGAAGCAACATGCTGCCATATGTAAAAGGAGATGCTGCCAAATGTATAAGGAGAAGACATCACGTGAAGACTGCTGTGCTGCCAGACTGTTGTGCTGTAATATTATTCTTTTTTGTAAACTGATACATTGTACAGCTATTACTTTAATAGCTATTCATGTAACTCCAAAACTGATGTGAAGAATATAATACACGAAGAAAACCATTCTCTGGTTTCACATCCACTACCTCTGTTAAGCCTTCCACCACCACCTCTGTTGAGCCTTCCACCACTACCTCTATTGAGCCACCTAGGGATTATTGCGATGGGTACGATCTATCGCCTTTGATCCAAGTAATAAATGGTTTTTGTACTGGCTCAGTAGATCATACAATCAAAGTATTGAACTTTATGCTTCATCTGTCCGAGTTGGTTCATGTGTTGTTATGCTGTCAGAGAAATTCAAAATTTTCTTTTCCCCCTTTCCCACTATGTTTTCTCCTCTCTAGAATCTAAAATCAATTGCCTTTTGCATTTTTTTTTATTTTTGCTATTTCCACCAACCTGTCCTATTTTCCCACTCACCTCGTTTTAGCAATTTTAAAGACAAATTTACCCTTTTGTTAAATGACTTCTAAGGACTTACAAAAAATAGGGTCTGAAAATAGGTCCTCACTATTTCTGATTCTCGGTTTTCACCTCTCTCTCTCAAATGGGTTTGGTTCCTCCTGAACTAAACTTGGACTTTAGACCTAGTTTTGTGCCTAAAACGAGCAGTGATTTCCTTAAGGAGGTTTCAATGATCGGTAATGTGTCCGAGAGGCTGTCCAAGCTTGACGATTTTGTTAAGCGATTGGAGGGAAGAGATGAGGAAGATCGATGCCTTCAAGTGCGAGCTTCCTCTTTGCATGTTTCCCTTGAATGATGGTTGGTTTTTGTTTTTCCATTTCATTAAAACATTAAAACTTCGATTTTTAAGAAAATATTTTTCTTTTTTCTAACTTTTTCGGTTTGGAGATGGGGTTTTGGATTTTTGATGGTTTTGATTGATGGTATTCAGTAAATGATATTAGTTTGATTTGAGAATTGGGGTTTTCCGTGTTTGTTGGGTTCGGTTAATGGGTTGTTGTTTTGTTATAACTCTTTTTCTGGGTTTGCTTTCTTCATATTGATTGCAGCGATTCTAACTCTGAAGGAAGCTGCAAAATGCAATGTGCAGCACCAAATGTTCAAAAAGAATTGTGAAAAAAAACAATGGAGGAAGAGGAACCAATAACAATAAGAAAGAAAAGGACTGTAGAGATAAGAAGAATTGGATGAGCTCTGTCCTACTTTAGAACACTGATAATTATTAACATCCCTCTAGTGATTTCCCATATGATCGAAAACAAGTTTCCAAAATTAATTCCAAGGTAAAGAAACAGAACATCAAAAAATTTGAACAAAACTAAACATATATAGCATTGAACTTTATCTTCTAACTGAGACAATAATGGCAGAAGAATGAAGCATAAAATGGGTTAGCAAATGAGGATCCC